AAAGAAACAAATTAGTCCTTATGTACTTTAAATTAATAAAATAAATTTCAAAAAAGACCAAAAATAAATTAAAAAATCGAAATTAAAAAAAAATAGAAATATAATCTTGTCCAATTCTCCCTTTATTGTTTTTATATCACAATTTAATATTTTTAATATAAAATATTATTTCAAAATATGTATTTTATAGTGCAAAGAATGCAAAAAAAAATAATTTTTCAAAACATATGTAAGCACATTTTTGAAAGAATATTAAATACGATAGTATATAGTAAAATGTTGAAATAATATTTCATACTTAAACAATATTAAATTGTGATATAACAATTATAAAAGGGAGAATTGGCCTAGATACTATTACATTCTTAAAATTTTTTGTTTTTTAATTTCGAATTTTAAATTTATATTTGGTGTTTTTTGAAATTTATTTTATTAATTTAAAGTGAATAAGGATTAAGTTGCACCTTTATAAGAACATGATAGATATTTGTGCACCTTTTTAAAAGTTTAGGGGTATATTTGTTCCAAAAAATAGAACAAGAGTATATGTGTTCCCACACCCATACTACAGGGGTATATTTGTACTTTTTCCCAAAAAAAGTATATGAATGTGAAATACAATATACTTATTTTATGTATGTTAATAAAAATTTGTAATAAATTGGTAAAAAGAACAAGTTAATTCAGTTGTAATTTAATTAGTTAAAGATAAAGATAAGTAAAAATTGACAAAATATTAGATGTAACTCGCGCATATTTAGATGTAACTCGTCATAGAAAGATGTAACTCGCGCACAAGAAGATGTAACTTCATATACTATAAAATGTAATTGCAGAAATTGTTTTGAAACATAATTCACACATGCACAAATGTAAAATTTTATCAAATGTAATCAAAATAAATAAATTTATTGTCTTGAAAACACTAAAAACATATAAAAGAGATAAGAGATACTACTATATTACAAGAAAAAGTGTATGAATATGATAAATATATTACAAAAAAAAGTATAAAGAAAAATTGGTTGTAATTTCAATTGAATGAAGAAAAAAAGAAAAAATTATATATGAATAACGTCTAAGACAAAATAAGTAATTAATTTATTTTGAAATGATGAAAATTTGATCAAATTTTTTTTACTATGTAATACATTTAGTGCTCCTAATTAAAAAAGAATCATTCAAAGTAAAAAAGTGAATAAAAATTAAAAGTAAAAAGGAAAAGGAAATAAAAGAAATGAGGGTGGAGGAGTGCCACTAAGGCACTAACGAAATTCCGTATTCCGTATTCAACAATGATTAAGCAGCACCATATGTATTCTGTCATCCATTTGTGAGGAAAAACGGCACCATATGTGAACCGGTATACCATGAGCATGGTATACCGATCATACGGTATAATTTGCCAGTACAAAACAGACACGTAAGCACAAAACCGGGATTTGCAAATGCTTAGCCGGTCATGTGGCTTGTATGACTGTTTTTAAGGGCATCTTCATCCATGAGATTATTAGAGGATTAAGTTGGTGATGTGGCGGATTAATTTTGGGATCATGGTTGGGTGATGGAGATTATTCAGTGAGATTATTTGAAAAAATAATCCAGGATTGAAATATGAATCCAGATTATTTCAAGATCATTGTTAATCTAGTATTAATTGGTGAGTAATGGACCCGCAAAAAATCTGATTATTTTGGTATGATGAATGGTGTGATTTAAAAGGTGTGAGATTATTTTGAAAAAATCTACGTGTCACAAAAAAATCTGTTTATTTAAATATCATGAATGTGGATGATCTAAGGAGTAAAAATACATGGCTTTGAAACTTTTTTTAGTAGATGGGTGTATGTGACAGTTTAGTAATAGTACATGTGGTTATTTGACGCTTTTTCCAAAAAAACATCATCATTAATAGTTATTCAAATAAAAAAGTACATTCTCCTTTTCATTATTAATTAATAGATTAAACAATTCTCTTGAGACCGTTATGTTAATACTTAATACGATGAGCTTTTTAAGATCACAAATAAAATTAGAGAAAAGTGTAGATTTAGTCTTGGCAATTTATATATATACTCATCATAAGTTTTTTAAAGAGTAATATTAACAAATTTGTTCAGACCATTCTACTAAAATATACTCCGTATTACTTTTGGCGTAAAACTACATGATGTCTGCAACATTTCTCGTATGTTTTATGTCAGTAAATTCCGATGAAAAGATGTTTATTTATTAGTAACAGACACAATAAAAAGTGTATAGTTACAAAAATAATTACAAACACATGCATAAGTTACGAGACAGAAAAACCATCTAAATGAAAAAAGTTCGAACCAATAAGGGAATTGCTAAACACCCAATTTTTTGTGTCTGAAAATTGAAAATTATATTTGTACACTTCTTTTAAACCCCACCCTTACACATACTAATTGTTGCCATATAAACAAAATATGAGTTCACCCAACATTCATGGTAAATACTTTGTCAAAAAACATTTCATGTATATACTTTGTCAATAGGAAAAAGGTACAATGGTACATATATACCTTTTTAGTGTGGGTATGAGAATAAATATATTCTCGTTCTATTTTTTGGAACAAATATACGCTTGAATTTTATGTAGAAGTACATATTTATACTCATGAACTTTTAAAAAGTGCAAAAATATCCCTCATGTTCCTATAAATGTGCAAATTTATCCTTATTGATTTTAATAGATAAAATAAATCTCAAAAAACACCAAACCCAAATTACAAATTTGAAATTGAAAAATAAAATAAAAACAAAAATATAATGTGTCCAATTCTCCCTTTTATTATTTTTATATCACAATTTAATATTGTTGGTATAAAATATTATTTCAAAATTTTACTATATATTTAAGATTCATTCAGAAATGTGTCAACATATGTGTTGCAATGTAAAAAATTCATTATTTTTTCTATTCTTTGCACTATAAAATTACATATTTTGTATGATGATAAATAGTCCAAGATTACAAAAAAGTGAATTTAACTTTGTTTAGGTTAAACAAAACCAAAGAATGTTATTTCAAAAAGTGTAACAATGTGTTCAAAATTTTGCAACAAGACTAAAATAAATATAAATGAATTTCAAGTGCTTCATTTACAACAAAATAATTAATAATTTTGCAATTTAAAAAGAGGTAATATTTAAAAAAACTTTATTTGGAACTCTTTAATTTTATTTTTAAATTTCGAATTTATAATTTATTTTTAGTGCTTTTAAAATTTAATTTTATCTATTTAATATCCAATGATAAATTTGCTCCTTTATAGAAATTTGAGTGATACTTTTGCACCTTTTGAACGTCCACAAGTATATATGCACCTATATAAACTTCAGAGATATATTTGTTTCAAATCAAAATAGAATAAAGATATATTTATTTTCACAGTGATACTATAAAGATTTATTTGTATCATTTACCTTTGATGTTACAATACTCCGTATGTTTTTGTATTTTCTACCCTATTCGTATTTTAAAAAAGCTTGCTACACTTTTTTTTTATTGTTGCTACACTTTTCTATTTGAAATGTATTTAAAAATTAGTTATACCTTCTCTTCTTAGTAATTTTTTCTTTTGAAATATTTAATTACCCTTATTTTTTCAATTTTTTATTTTGTCTTTCTTTACCCTTATCTACTTCTTTTTACGCTGCTATTTCCCTCTGTAACTAACATTCCTGTCCGTAGCTTCCGTTCTGCTATTACCCTTATCAACTCTGTTCTCTAATCTCTACTACTGCCCCCATTGCTCTCATCATTCACTCTGATTCCTAAGCCACTCCGTAGATCTAAGGCCCAACTACCTCTCTCGAGCTTCGGCTTCAGTTAAGCATCCTCTTCGTTTATGCTTTTTACATCATGTTAGCTCGACTGTTTTTTTTTTTGCTTCGCTGATGCGTGAATCCACTTGCTAGTTAGGATCGAAACGTAAAGTCAGTTAAGTGATTTTAAGTTTTAACTTACTAGACCTTTTGTTGTGGTTTGATTTTTCTCCATTTCCATGTCATTAAACTGGCAAGAGTATTTTGAGACCTGAAGCTTCCTTTATGCTTTTGTTGTTTATCTCGGGCTTCACGCCTTTATCTGCTTTATGATTGAGTTGGAGGTGAGCTGGTGAGATGAACTTAGTATTTGATATGGATTGTTTTCATTTGGTCGAATTGCACCAAACAATTAAGCTTTAGGGTGTGAGCAGTTTGTGTGACTATTCAAGTGCCATCTTTTCCTGTTTATTTAGCACGATATTTAGCTTAATATGCTAGAGAATGAAATGTGTTCATTAGAAATTTGTTCAATTTCTTGGTTAGGTGCCATCTTGTACGTTCCATAACAGCTCCATAGCTTCTTTCTTCCCGTCTTCAGGAAGTCTTTTACTTGTTTTAATACTGATAACTGTCTGAACATGGCTACGGATTATGAATCCATTTGCAGTGACGCGTGTCTCGGCTCTGTTGCCGCCCATCTCCGACATGGAGGCTTCTATTAACGCACTGGAGCAACTTTTGCAGTACCGTTTCAAAAACAGGAAGCTTCTGGAAGAAGCTCTTACCCACTCTTCTTTCACAGAGTCGTCCTCTTACCAGCGTCTGGAATTCCTAGGTGACATGGCTTTAGGGCTGGCCATCTCCAACTTCGTCTACTTATCCTATCCTGAGCTAGACCCAGGCCAACTCTCTCTTCTTCGGTCAGCGAATGTCAGCACCGAGAAGCTCGCTAGGGTAGCTGTCCATCACAGCCTCTACAGATATGTCCGCCACAATGCCCCTTCTCTTGAAGAAAAGGTATACATGTGTGTGATCATAGCTTAGCATACCATTTGAATTCTACAGTGGTTATTAGTTCAATTTTTATTTTCTTCCAATGCGGGTAGAATTTGATGAACCTGCCTTAAAAGGATGGGAATTGATGACTTAGTTTGAAAGAATTGATTTTGTTTGATTTAAATTTGGCTGAATTTGGGTTGTATTAGGTGAAGGAGTTTGTGCTAGCAGTCCAGGAAGAAGACGAGACTGAATTCTATGGCGGAGCAATCAAAGCACCAAAAATTCTTGCAGACATCGTTGAGTCTATAGCCGCTGCTGTATACGTTGACGTTGGATTCGATTTGAAGGAGTTTTGGAAGGTTTGTATCTATTTTTTTCATTCCATTGTAGTCGTTGTAAATTTTCTGTGACTAATCTATAAGGTAGTACAGTGCCTGCTAATTGGTGCATAATGGCCACATTTTCATTGCAAGTCTAATATGGCTAAAAATATCCTCAACGGGTGCTTTCATACACACTCTAAACATGGAAATATGGAAGGTTGTGTGGAAGTCTATAAGCATTGTGATCAATTATGGATGGATCTCATTGGCTGGCATACGGCTATTTTAAATTTGTTCTATGTCTTCATATTTTTTGAAGAGTTTGCTTCTCAACACAAAGTGGAGATAATGTTATGGTCTTAATAATCTTGATTTGATGTAAAAACAATTTAGCTGATGTAATTATGTGATTCTCATGCATTTTTTAGCTTCAATTGTCGTTTACACTATTGGCACAACTTTTCAAGATTTTGATCATCATCTTGGCATCTTGCTCACACACATTAAGCAGTTAGTCACAATTTTTTATAGCCCAAGTGCCTAATTCCTCTTTGGCAACTTCTCAGTTTATACATTCAGCCTTCAACTAATACAAATTTGGTAAGTGTGTGTGACAAAAAATGCACAAATTCCCTGTCACATGTTTGTGTTGTCTCATGCCATGTCTGTGATGCTGAGCTTATGATCAATGAACTTCAGAAGTAACAGCAAGAGTGGGCATAGGAAGAATAACCTAGTGGCTAGTGCTACGTTAGAATATGATTTTTGCAACAGGAGCTATAAGTCCCTCTCTGCTTATAAATCATATTAGAAATAAATGTTTCACTGTGCACCCTATTGTATTCAGTTTTGGAACTACTTGACAAGTATCTCTTTTTAGAAATACTGAGGATGAGTTTGGGTGATTTGACTTGTCTTCCCTCTTGATCCAGAATTAACTGCAAAAACGGAAGCCCCTTCTGTATTAATTTATCCATTGCATATGGTTTCCATTTTGTTTTGGTGCTAGGTCTTTAGAGGCTTACTTGAGCCAATAATCACCCCTGATGTGCTGCAAAAGCAACCTCAGCCTGTGACAATGTTATTTGAACATTGCCAGAAAGTCGGAAAATCTGTTGACATAAGATACAATAAGACTGGACTGAACAACACTGCAAGCATCTACATTGATGGAGAACACCTAGTCTCTTCATCTTCAGAGCAGAAGGAAAATGCGAGGCTTCATGCTGCAAAGGCTGCACTAGAGAAGCTGGCTTATAAAGTTGAAAAAATCAACTTTGAGTTCGATGAGACTATGGGCAATGATGGAGCAAAACAGAAATTGTATGAACTTTGTGGGAAAAAAAAATGGTCGAAACCTACTTACCGGTACAAACATATTTTCCTGAGTAGTTTTTAATTCATATGACTTATAAAGTTCTGTTTTCCCATGTTTATGGATAACATAGTATAGGTTCATGGTTGGAAGGCTTTTCACATTTAGCATTATCTGTTCCATATCTTGGTTTAAACTTTTTCCGTGTAATTTTTAAAAACTGCCTTGAGAAGAAGTCTGCTCCATAAGCTCTTTGCATCATTCCTTGATTTCTTAAATGGGCTTCATTACCTTAACTTATTGCCTTGGCACTTGGCACCAAAGTATGCACTTGTTAGATGAAGTCTTCAAGTTAAGGAAAGTTATGGGCCCACTTCTGTCATCTTTTTCTATTCTCTCGTTTTTTTCTTCGATTTTTGTTACCAACACATAGTTATGATATCACACATGTTCTGTAGTTAACAGTTGTGGTTAAGGAAAAGTGTTTGCTTAATATAACTTTCATATATTCTAAAACATTTCTTGAAGTAAATATGTTTTTTGTATGTTTCCTAAATTTGGAACACAAAAAAAGCAAAATTTATTTTTATGTTCTCTAGTTTTCTAGATAAACAGGAGTTGACTTCTGCTGTTGGGAAACAGTCCCCTACATTCTTAACGAACTGTTTCTGTTTCCTGGCTAATATTTGTCCTACTGTTTGCAGGGTTGAGAATGAGATAGGCCCATCACACGACAAGAACTTTGTCTGCTCAGTTGAAGTAGGTAGCATTGATGGTTTAGCTATTACAGTTGGTAATAAGAAGTCTCAGGTGCTATTCGCTACTGGAAATAAAATGTTGCGGATCAGAGATGCAGAGAACTCAGCTGCCTATTCCATGCTATGTGCTCTGAAAGATGCAAATGTCATATGATTCTCTCCACTTCTTATGGACCGGTGAAATTAACGGCACGTGGAGTTGCTCTTCCAACCGTCCGGGTGAAATTTGAATGATCCAATTGCTGGTTGAAGCATTCTTTGGAAAAAATAAATGTCATGTTATCTCAAGGTTCGGTACATTCCCATTTGCACGCACAGCTTTTTGAAACAGACGTTACTTTTGAGCTTTGAAGATATTCTCCGTATAAGCAAGTCTCATATCATTAGATAAAGTTAGACTTGACTTTACTTTATTTATTAAAATAAAATGTCAAATTAACCTATTGATGAAACATTACAGTTAACGTGTTATGTGAAACAGTGAAAGCATGAAAATGATTAAATGACATGTTCTGCACCCTAATGTTATCTCAACACTTTTACATGTTTCTTCTTGATTTTTTACCATCGGTTTTTATTGTTTATCTCAATGCATTGACTAAAAGACTAAAGTTTTGTTAGTTTTGATCAAGTTAAATTTTTAACCAGACGGTAGAGTTAGACAACTCACGACCTTGTAATGATATTCTCAAAAGTAGTAATCTTTTGATGAAAAACATTATAATTGGGATGCATAATATAAAGCACGAAGTCATCTTTTGATGAAAAACATTATAATTGGGATGCATAATAATAAAGCACGAAATCGATTTAGGATATGTTGCTTTTCAATTTAATTATATATTTTTTTATCGTAAAACAAAACTTATGTTAAATCAATAAATCGTTTGTCACTTGGCTAATAATACCATCTGGAATAACATCATAACGAACTCTCTGATCTGAGATAAAAGCATGTGCTCGGGCTAAAACATGAGTCACACGATTCACAATCTTCTTCAAAAAGAGATATCAAAATCACTCTTTGTTTCCAAAATCTTCCGTATATCATCAAGGACTAGATGAATATATGACGATCTTTCTCCTTTCTTAAGACCCTGCACCACCGTAAGAGCATTCGTCTCGATCTCCACCTTTTGCCAACCTTCCTCAGTTGTACACAAAATAGCATCCCAAACACCTAGAGACTCTGTCTCCTCAGCAAACCAGAGGCCTTTTTTGAGACTCCTTGAGCTTTAATAAACTCCCCTTTGTCATATCGTGCAATCCAACCACATGCTCTAATCTTCCCTTCCTAATTGACCTCCGCATCTACATTAATTTTGATATGTCCCAGCCTAGGCCGCTGCCATGAGGTCAAGCCGTTGCTGCTCGTCGCCGTTGTTCCAGGCCTGCTGTCCTGCACTTCTCTCCAGTTTGCCAGTACACTCGCCACGGCGTTGAGTACTCCCACCGCCTCCAATCTATGTTCCTTCCACACCACATTATTTCTCCGCTTCCAGATACTCCATAGAATGGAGAGAAACCTGCTCATCGCCTCTTTACCCAGGTTTTCCAGCCTCTGCCAAAGCCTCATTCTCGGTCTGAATTCCGGCCAGCTGCTCAGACCTGATACTCTTGTAATTTCTATGTGTATGTTTGTGTTTTTAGTTAGTTTTGTTGTTTGTTACTTTGGAAATTACACACTTTTGGTGTAATACTTTAGTTTGTAAAATAATTGTAATTTGTTTAGATTAGTGTTATTCTGAGCTAAAACAGGTCCATGATCAATCAAGGGACCATTGGTGAACCCCAAAAGAGGAAAGAAGCTGCAAAAATGCAAGACAAAAAGGAAGATCTCGATTTTGGGCTGTACCCGGTCGGGTACACCCTATACCCGATCGGGTACCTACTTGTTTTGCGAATCAGTGGATCAAATCCAGAAAACAAAGGAACGTGCAAGGCGATATTTGACCACGATCTATTGTCATACCCGATCGGGTGCACCGACCCACCCGGTCAGGTATGGCTAAAATTCATAACTTCCCAGAAGCTTCTGAAGGTACCCGATCGGGTACCAAATATACCCGATCGGGTACACGTCCCTGCTGCTTCCATTTACCTATAAATACACTCTTTTCCTTCACATTAAAATTACCAATTCTCTTATACTCTAAAACTCAGTTTAGTTAAGTGTTTCCTTTATATTTTTAGCATGTTTAGAATCCAAATGAGGAGCTAAACTCTTCCATCTTGGTTTTGCTACATTGAAGCTTAATGATTTGTAAGTTGTGAGTTATTTTCTTTAATCATCTTCCTTTAATCATCTTCCTTGAATATTCATTAAATTCCTATTGAAATTCCTATCATTTTCTTTAAATTCCTATTTCATATTAATATTTTGAGCATTACTTAAAGGATCAACTAGTTTTGTTTCATATACTTTGTATTAATTACTATCCTCCGTTTTTTTTAATCGCAACATGTTGAATTTTACACTATTCACATGCTCTACTTTGACTACATTTTACGCTACTCCGTATTATTTTATGAGAATTAATTTTTTAAAAAAATATTGTTCAATTCATCTCATTACAAATTTTCAAAATCTGATTTTTAATTTTTTTTACTAATAGAGATTAAGATATAATTACGGTCAAAGACGTGCGTTGGTTAATGTTGACCGTTACTAGAATTAATCTTATTTTATGAAATGTTATGAAATGTTGTTCAATTCATCTCATTTCATAATCTTATTTTATGAAATGTTGACCGTTACTAGAATCAGTCAACGAATACGTTTGTTAATCGTTCGGTCCTTTCACGGTAGTAAACTTGAATTATTAATGCATGTGTCTCATGGTTAATAATCTAAGGGGAATTAATTATATTGATTAAACCAATAAACCGCTTGTGTTGAGGTTATCAATCTCAATCGTTTTCATATTACGTTTTATTGCTACTATCGGGTCGATATACGGCATTACGGCGCGTGTTCTATATTGACCTGGTAGTAAGTTTTATTAATGAACACGTCTCGTTATTAATAACTACCCTCGAGGAATTGGATATACTCCTCGATTGAGTATTCGAGAGGAAGATAGTTATAGATATAATCGGGATCGACGAACATTTCATTAAGTGGATATAAGCAAAATCAAGTCCTCATCTCTAATTAATAAAACCACATAAGTCATTCATCTTAGTGTTTAAATATTCTTAAAGTTCAAAGGACAATCTACCCCCCCCCCCCCCCCCCCCGCTACTAGTTATATAAAAGAGAAATATTCATTTCCCTACGGATACGAACCTTACTTCATTCTATTACGTATAATTGTTGTATTGATTATTATTTTGAGGCACACCACGACAAAGTGCCGTCACCTCCCCAACGTAAGCACAAGACCGGACCGCATGGTTTAAGGACTCCTCCAAATCCCCGCATAACTTGCAACCTCCTTGTATAGTCACACTCTTCCTCCTTAGATTGTCCACAGTTGGTAGAGTACCTAACCTGCCAAACAAAATATTTGAATTTTGGGGGGACCCGAAGTTCCCATAACTGTGCCCACCCACTCCAATTCCCCATCTGCATCTCCCACAATTAATTTGTAGCAGCTTTTGGCTGCGAAAACACCACTTTTTCACTCGTCCACCAAAATCCATCTTTCCTATCCCGCATACTAATAGGAATACTCATAATTAGAGCCCTATCTTCCGGATTAAAAATGCTCTTGATTCTCTCTTGATTTCAAATTTTCAATGCTTCCCTGTAATGCTACATTCATGTATATAACTCCAGCTGGTCGTGCTAATGTGATTTTTCCGAACCCAGTCCCGGTAACCAAGCATCCCCCAGACTTGGACATCAATACCATTTCCCACTCTTCTTCTAATATTTTTTTAAGAATAGGTTGAGTCTCAAAAATCCTTCTCCAAATAAAAAAAGGGTTTTACCCATATTTACATTTAAGAAATCAGAATTTGGGAAATACCTTGTTTCCGTAGTGAGACGCCAACCTTGTTTGGCTAACATGGCCAAATTAAATCCCCTTATTCTCCTGAACCCCAAACCCCCTGCCTCTTTCGGCTTACACTGCACATAGCCTCCCACCGTCTCCAACGCAAACCTTTTTTATCAAATTTTGAGCCCCCCCCCCACCACAACCCATTCATCAAGTTTTCAATCTCGTCACACGGGTCCTTCGGCAGTAGAAAGACATTCAGCATAATTGGCCATAGGTTGAATTTAATTATATATTTTTGAAAATTCATTTTGTTATATCATGTGTCCTAATGTCCTGTGATCCTCTCAGTATGAACAATATTTTCAACACGGAGTAAATATAATAATAAAGTAAATTCAAATAACAAAATAAGATTAACATTAAAATTTACAACACGCGGCATCCTTTATCTTCCCAATAGATTTGGAATAAATCTTAAGAAATAGATATTGCATTATTGATATTTGTTTAGAAGAGAATTGAATGACATATTATGAACCACATAATGTTTTACTTAAAAGAAAAATGAGATAAATTTAAGATGGAGATAATTGAAGATATAAATTAGGTGGAAGGATTATGTTTTAAACTTTTTTTAAGTGCAATACTCTCAAAAATGTACGAAGTAACTTATTTATTTAATAAACTTACATATTAAAGCTATGTTAGGCTATGGCATCTCACAAAAAACATTTTTGAGGTTTTCACTCCAAAAATGTTGCAACTCACAAAAAAAACTGGACGCAAGACATTGTGGATTGACTAATTTTGGGATATTAACCAGTCCGGAACTGAACCGGTTAATCCCTGCTATAATACATTTCCTTTCACCTTTGATATGTTTCCAACGCCAACAAATTTAACTTAAATAAGTCCTCCTCCGCCCTGTATTTGCTACTCTAATAAATACAAATGGTTAAGTAGTAGTAACAATAATTTCAATAATGAAAATATAGTTAAGAATTATAATGCTTTTATAAGAATCGTTCTAAGACTTCAATAGAATTGGATTCACTTTGCCTCTAAATTACTTGTTTGTTCTTACTCTTTTCTTGCCTTAAACACTCACCCAAGCAACTCATGTAACAAAGTAACACCTACGAAATTCAAAGGACTGTGTTGGATTTTTAAACCTTCAGGATTACAATTACTTATTTATGGATCATGTCATGTGCTTAATAAATTTGTTAAAACCATTCCACTGAAAAGAGTTTATAGTTACAAAAATAATTACAAGCACATGTATAAGTTAAACACCCAATAGAAGAATTGCCAAACACCCAATTGTTTTTGTGTAAATATTTGTATGCGTCTTTTTAAACCCACCCTTACACGTGCTCTAAATAGATGGAGAAATTTTATACTACTACTAATTGTTTCCATATAAACAAAATGTGATAAGCATGGACAAAAAATGTGTTCAATTCACCCAACATTTCCGGTAAAAAATGTGTATTGTTTTTACACCGGGAGCTTAGCTCACCTGATAGGAAGGTAGTGCCTAGTTCACAGGGGACCTAGCTCAGTGGGACTCTCACGGATGAAGTGTCATCCTCTTTTGT